GCGTGCGTGCGTGCGTGCGTGCTCGCAAAGACATCAGGGCGGAGGGTCGCAGTTCGCGAAAGGCACATCGATCCTCGGTGCATCCCCCCTGTCTTGAATGCGAAGTTGAGTGTCTTGTGTAAGTTTTGTCGCAGACTCTCCTTTGCATTCTTGCTTTGTCAACCGCCCTCTCCCATGCTTCAACAAGTACAACTAGTTTCGCCTAGAATCCGGCGCCACTGGCATGTGTGCGCAATGCTGCTCCGTGTAGCAGACGCAGGATGCTGACTTGACTTTCGCCAAAGTCGTGTCGAAAGGCTGGCGGTTCGGTAAGAAGCAGAGGTCAGACGGACGGCAGGAGCATGAGCTTAGCCACGTGATAGGCCTTCGGAGGATCGACTTCTTGCAGTTTAAGGCTGCACTACTGATCGTGGCGGACCCTCTGGCTGCATTGCTATGCACCTTTCGGTACTAATGCGAGGCAAGACTGTTCAGTAGCATGGATAGACAAAGATTGAGAAAGATGAGGAGAAGAAGAACGTGGAAGCAGGAGACATTTTTGAAGCTGTGGCAAGGCCTGGACAGACCTGTGGTAGCTCTGTCTCTTTTGCGAAACTGCAGTTGCAACCACAAGCAACTGCAGTTTGTTCATTGGCGACAGACTTTCTGCTTGCGCAGTGCTCTCGCCCTGTGTAGCTACTCAGGTGAACGAAGGGCCAGCGTAGGAACGACAGTCATAAGTAGAATGATTTAAGCTACCTGGTTCAGATCGCCCGCAGCAGCACGACTCCTGAAACAGTAGCTGCAATGTGCAACAACAGGCATTTGCACAGGTTCATGCTGCTATCATGCAGCATCTCATGGAAGATGCAGGCCCTCCACAGAGATCGCTCGGCACAAACTGTACGCGGGATGACATCGAAACACAGTGACAATTGTCATCGGATGCTGTGGCGAAAACAGCAACCGCCGCAACCGTTATCGAATAGTTGCCCAACATGTCAAACCATTTGTCACCCCAGCCGAATAGCAGCGCCGCACCCAAAGCCCCGTCCCCACGGTCCGGTAACACGCAGAATGCGAGAGAGGCTGGCCGGTTTTGAAGTGACGGATGTGGCAGTCCATACAGTGCCCTTTCCTTCTTGGCCCCTCGAAGGCTGTTTTAATGCTACTTTTTTAGGCCCGTGGGTTCTGTGGTTTGTCTCTCCGAGATCAGAGACCAGAGATCAGAGACCAGACCTCAAACGTCAAAGTTGTTGCTCTGCAAGAACCCTATAGCCCACAGTTGCACTGTGCCTTGTGGCCTCAGGCAGTTTGCTGGTCCTCAGCTGTGCGGCACGCGAACCGAGTCAGTACGCTTCCATGATGCTGCTCAGCCGCACATAGCCGGGCTGCACGTAAACATGGCATTTACCTTGAAAGCTAAGGACATCAGCACATATACAGGGGTGCATGCCAATGGGGGCCCCGATGCTGTGGCCAAAGGCACACACCAAATTCCCAAAACCTGCTATCAAGATATTCTGCAGTGCTCGTGCATTCAAGCTGGTTCCTACACATGGTCGACGTTTGTGCCATTGCCACCCAGCCGTGGCAGGCACTGGCAGCGCGCAGTTGGCTTCTTTTCGCTTGTGATTTGCAGCACAGGAGCGACCAGTATGAACATGAACGATGTTGCTCGCGTGTGCGCCGGATCTGCAGCAGGACTTTGTCGGGAGAGGTGGACGAGCCCGGTTGAACCTGGCAGTAGGATCACTTTTGTGCCCAGCTGTGGTATGAAAGGGGTCCGAGCCATGGCCTTGTGCAAAACTTCTAATTCAAGACGTTTCACCACAGGCCGCTGACCGTTCATCGGCTCAGAGTCCGGAAAGAGTGTGTGATGTGTTACAGTCAGTGGCAGTGTCCGGTAGCAGGGAAGAGAACGGCTGGCTGTGGAAGCCCAGGCCCTGAAAATCAGAGAAGGATTGTATGTTGCAGCGATTGTAAGCTTCTTGACTTCTAGAGCTCCTATGTTTGCATGTTCGGGTATGGGCTCCAGCCATGCTGCCCAGGAGCCATCTGGCAACTCAGAGACTCCTTGCTTAGACGCCGCTGTAGCCCACGCGTGCAGATTCATGTCCTTGGCATTGCTGACATAGCATCTCGTACTTCTAGCCTAGACCGAGCTCCGGTACCTACCGGAAGCTGCACTGCGCGACGGATAGCTTGTGGTAGAAAGCTGGCGCAGAGCGTTCCCAGAGCGCAGGCTGGAGCAGATCGACTGCTCAAGCCCCTTGCTCGTGCTCTGCGCTCACTGCCCACCGGCGCTGTTTGCGCCCGAGCGTGCTGCACCGTTCGTTGCTAGCACGGTACGAAGCAGCCACCTGTGCTGCAGTTTTTGTTCCTGACGGACCTGGCGTCAGAGTCTTCTCACATCGGCAGGTCGAATGCACAGAGAGGCCCACGACCCGGGTTAGATGTCGGCACATGCACGCAATAGGCGGAATTCTTTGGCCTTTCTTGTGCATCGGACCGCAAAGCTCCCAAAGGGCAGGAGGCGAAAACACGCCTTGCACTCTTTTGGCTCTAAGGCAGGGGGACAGGATGACAATGAGCTTGTTGTGCAACAGCGGGACTGCACATGCCTGCATCATCTTTCAAGAAGCCGTTCAGCCTCAAGGCCAAAGTCCCTGACGGCTTTTGGCTAGCCCTCCGGTGCCCAATGGGTGTGATCGCCTCTCAATTCGGCCCGAAGGGCCAGGAGCACAAGATTCTTCTCGTGGGTCTGGTCGGTTCGGGAAAGACAACCTTGCTCCACTCACTCAAGGCCGGCGAAGTCCGATGCCTGGTGACTCATGTCATTGTGAATTCTGGGCACCACAGGAACGGCAATTGCGGTTTGCACTGCTCGCTTCCAGGTTTTTTCGCTACTCTAGACTCTATATGACTCTATATACTTTGTATGCTTTGTCTTGGTCTCTGTTCGTCTCTCTCTCATTTCTTCTCTCCGTCTCGCTCTTTCTCTGTCTGTCTGCCTGTCTGCCTGTCTGCCTGCCTGCCTGCCTGCCTGGCTGTCTGTCTGTCTGTCTCTCTGTCTGCCTGTCTCTCCGTCTGTCTGGATGATTGGATGGATGGATGTGTACATACACACATGCGTACATACAAGTATAGCAACATACATATGTACGTATATCACACACACATACAAATTCCGTGCCTGTACCGTATGTTCGCATCTACATACACACACGTACATGCATACATATACACATACATATACGCATGCATGCATCCATACATAAATACGTGCCACACATATACGTATAGATGTATGTACATACATATGAATCTATACAGAGAGGATCTCTCTCTCTCTCTCTCTCTCGTGCTCTCTCGCTCTCTCTGTTTCGCTCTCTCGCGCCAACTCTCGTTCTGTTCCTGCACGTGTCTGAACTTCCATCCGAATCAAACTATGCCGGGATTTCTCTCTGTGTCTGTGCGTCTTTCCGTGCCCGCGGATCCTTGCGTGATGCTTTCACATCCTGCGGGTGCCATGCAACTCAAGGTCTGCATGGACATCCCGACGATTGGCTTCAATGTGGAGACCCTTGAGATTCGGGGAGGCATCATGAACATTACGTCGATAGTGGCGTGGGATGTAGGTGGGCCGGACAGGATTCGTGGACTTTGGCGCCATTATTATACGGACGTGGATGGCCTGGTCTTTATAGCCGATTGCAATGATCGAGATCGGGTGGATGACGCTAGGGAACAGATTCATTACATTTTGCGGGAGGAGGAGCTGCTAGACAAGCCTCTCCTCGTGCTTGCAAACAAGCAGGACCTGCCAAACGCCATGAGTGTAGCAGAGCTTGAGGACAAGCTTTCCCTAAACCAGATCGGAGACCGGCCATGGTTCATCCAGGAGAGCGTGGCCATTGAAGGCAAAGGCATCAACGATGGATTGGAATGGCTTTCACGCCAATTCGACTGCCATGGGAGCAGCGGCTAGCAAGCGTTGCAGCAAATCCTGGAGCTCTTGTCCAAGATAATGCTCAAACGGCCACCTGGATGTTGCGGCTGCTGACACCGATGAGGCCACGGCCCGCGGCTAGGGCAGAGGTCGCTACTGCACGCTCATGATGCGGGGTGGCTGCTAACGTTGACACGCCGTGGGCAGAGAGACGTGCATTGTGTAGTTGTATTTCTTGCAGTCCATGGGTTTAAGTCACTGACCCGAGCATATGGGATGTGTACAGTATCGCCCCTGAAAAGCTGTGCAATCAGTGCAAGCAGCTATGTGGCCATCGCCAGTTCTCTCTCTCTCTCTCTCTGTCGCTCGCTCTCTCTCCCTCTCTGAGTGTGTCCCTCGTCTTGTTTCCCAGTGCATTCTGATAGCCGCATCACGTGCCAGAAATGCCAGTGCACTGGCTTGTGAAAGATGAAGAACCGACGCGTGGGGACCATTCGGCTTCCCGTGAACATTGAGTTGTTAGCTAACTCATCTGGATTCGATAATCTGGCAGCAGGACAGAGATGTGGCAGAGCTAACATCAGGCCCAACTGTACATCTCTCTCACTGCTCGTGGGAAAGACGTACTTTCCACAAAGCGCGAAGCTGACTCAACTCACGATCCCCGCATGCATGGGTGCCAGCAGGGCTGGCATCTCACTTGCCATGACAGTCGAGAAACTACTTTCGTCGTAACATACAGGTTGCAAACTCCAAAGTGCACAAGACACCTGCCCTTCCGCTGGCTTGCATCGTGATACCCTCCTATGCAAGTTCCGAGCACTGTTGTTCGCGCAGCCCCTCCAGCGTGACTGAGCAGCGGTAGCATGGCCTTCATCTTGGTATTGCAGGAACACGCGACCAGGCAGGTGTGTTTGGGCCCAGAGGGATCCCAAAGGGAAAGCCATATCATCCAGAACAGAGCTTCCAAGCATCACAGTGACCTGCCGAGGCCCCATGTGGGAGCATGTTTGCATGCAAAGGCTTTTGGGCAGCTACAATCAGCTACCTTCTGCCGAGCACAAAGGGGCTTTTGGGCCATGTGCGGGAAACAAAATCGAGCACATCCGCATGCATGTCCTACCCTTGCGTGCATCAGGCAGGCGCAGAGCTTAGTGACAAACTTTCCTCCATGAAGATGCAGTTCGCACTGGAAGGCAAACACAAGCGAGCAGAACGGCAGGCACATCGTGTAAACATGACAGGTTCTGCCTGCCTGCTGCCTTTAAGTTACCCTCCCGCCCCTGTCATTCCACTCCTGCCAAGTGAGTCCCGGAGACATGACATACGGGAGGTGAGAAAGCTCCGCTTCCGCTCCAAGACCCAACGAAAGTATGGGTGTAGAGCGTGCAGTCCAAGTCTTCACTGCTACACCAGCCGTCCAGTCTCAAGGCCGCGGCTTTTTTCTGGTGTCGGCCCTCTTCTGCACAATGGGTGCAGTCGCCTCGCTCATGGGTGGCCGGCGCAAGCGTCAGCTTCTTCTCGTGGGTCTGGACGCCGCGGGGAAGACAACCATGCTCTACTCGCTCAAGGCTGGTGAGGTCCGCTGCCCGGGAAGCTGACTGCAGAAACCGCTGCTGCTGTTCCTGTTCTCGCGTTGACATGTTCTCGTGCAATCGTGTCATGTCTGTACCAGCCTGCATAGCTCTGTTTGTCTCCCATCTGTGCGTGCACGCGTGTGTTGCGTCTCCCTCCCTCCATCCCTCTGTGAGTCTCTGTGTCCGGTAAATCTCCTTAGAAAATCTCAGGAAAAAGGCGGCCATTCCAAAGTCTGGACGTCGATCCACTCCTCTGGCCACACCCCGGTTCGACGTGGCAAGTTGAACTCAAGGCTGCCTGCAGCTGCGAAGGGAAGTAAGGAGCATGTCACAGCTGCGAGCCTGGGCACGTTCTCGGACATGCTCGAAAATCGCTCATGTTGTGCTGTCAATAGAGTACCGTTTTCGGGAGCAGCAAATGCTTTGTGCATCGCCTGCGATAGCGATTTCTGCTGACTTCTACTGTATGGTCGTCCGAAAACGCAAGCTAAGGTCGTTACGACCATTCCTACGATTGGCTTCAATGTGGAGCACCTGGACGTCCGGCACGGCATGATGAACATCACGTCCATGGTGGCGTGGGATGTTGGTGGACGTGACAAGATTCGCCCACTCTGGCGCCACTATTATAAGGAGGTGGATGCCTTGGTCTACATGGTCGATTGCAATGACCGGGAGCGAGTGGATGAGGCTAAGGACCAGCTTTTCCAGCTCCTCATAGAGGATGAATTGGCAGACAAGCCTCTCCTCGTCTTCGCCAACAAACAGGACCTGCCGAATGCCATGAGTGACACAGAGATTGTGGACAAACTCTCCCTAAACCAGATCCGAGACCGACGGTGGTTCATCCAAGAAAGTGTGGCCACCAAAGGAAAAGGCATCTATGAAGGGTTGGAATGGCTTGCGGGGCAGTTGAAGGCTGATGGGAGAAATGGCCAGCGAGCAGTCTCCCGTCCTCCAAAGAGCCGCGAGCTCCCTTCCAAGGGCGTGCAGGCCAAGCCAGAGCACGCGGATGATGTTTCCACAGCTGACACTGAGGATGCCACAGCTAGGGCAGAAGTCATCACTGCACACTCATGATGCGGGGTGGCTGCTGCGTTGACACACCATGGGCAGAGAGACACGCATTGTGTAGTTGTGTGCCTTGCAGTCCATGGGTTTACGTCACTGACCCGAGCATATGGGATGTGTACAGTATCGCCCCTGAAAAGTGTGCAATCAGTGCAAGCAGCTATGTGGCCATCGCCAGTCCTCTCGCAAGTTGTCGTGAAACACACTTGTGTGTGTAGGGACACGTTCGGCGATCGACGCATCCGCCGCAGCATTCGCGGCTTTGCGTCGACGCCCCGCGACTTTCAGCTTTTCTCCTAGCCTCCTCCTGGCGCCATGTCGTCGGTCCCGTCCTCGGCTGAGCTTGCTGCGGCGGCAGGCGTGCTGCAGGCTGCTCTGGACGCCGGCATCGACCCGGCGATCCACTTTGGAGGATGGACCCGGCTCCAACGTCG